CACACACCCCAGGACAACCTGCCTGGCTCCCCAGCCTCTCCTACCTCTGCTCCTCCTGGGAAGCCAAGCTCTGGGACCTGGCTAGCAGTGGCATCTGCCTTGGAAGAAGGGGACATCTTTTCCCAATTAGCACAGAGGGGTGATTTGGAGCTGCTTTGGAGAACTGCCTGCAGGGAATTGGGACCAGCTTCCTGGCTGCCGTGCAGACTAGAAACAGATGCAGAGTGAGGCCAGCTTGTACCTTTTCGGAGCCTCAAGCCCTCTTGTACCGAGAAAGAAATGGAGAGTAGTCTCAGGCAGCCGTGGGTCTGGAAATGCGGCTTCACAGCCAGCAGCAGCAGCAGCAGCTTGCTTCAAATGCCGATTCTCAGGCCCTGCACAGGCCTGCGGAATCCAGAGCTCCGGGGAGCGGGGCCCAGCGATGTTTTAAGAAGCCCTCCGGGTGATGCCCACCCAAGTTAGAGAACCTCTGCTTTAGAGCACCTAGCAAGGGACTCTGCAGGCAAGTTGGAAAATGAGAAAATCTGGCTTTAGATGTCTGCTCTCTGAAGCTCAGTTTCCTCCTCTGTAAAATGGGTGTCAAATTCCATCATCTTTAAAGTTTCTGGGCAATTCTATCCTTTTATGATTTCAAACTCCTCTATTTCTCCGTATCTTCATTTTCCCAGTTGAGCACCAGTCAGAATCAGGATGAACGGATGCTCCCTCCCCACCCCAAGCATGTTTCTCCTCCGGAAAATGGGAGGACGGGGAAGTCCAAAGTCCCCCCCCCCCGCCGGCGGAGTCCTCAGATTTGAATATACTTGGGAATGAGGGGTGTGGGGCTGGTTAGCAGTGTAGATCCACTCATTCCATGGGGCCACAACACCTGGGGCTCTTGTGAATGAAGCATCCTTCGCCAATCTGGGCTCAGCTGGACAAATCTCAACGTTCCCATGTGGACAGACCTAAATATCCCCTTCCAGGAAGTAAGGAGAAAGGACAGAATCCCGACAAGCCGTTTTAGAGTCCCACCTTTGTGGTCCTGATAGGCACCTATAGGCCGTATAATGTCTTTGTAGAAGTTAGGAAAATGGCCCCTCTCCCGGGTGGAGCCAGCCCCCTGCCGGGGTCTAACAGGTAAACCTCCGGTTGGCTTTGTGCCCCCTCTCCGCCCTCATCCACACAGTGTGAAGGTGGCAGCCCAGCTGCAACCTTCCGTGCTTTGGAACTGGCGAGACTCGGGTCCAAATCTCATAGTCCAGAGGGGCTGAGCATCTCAGCCGGGTCACACAGCAGGTAGAGAGGCCAGGGCGGGGGCCAGGGAGGCCGGAACTTACTGGCCTTCTGCTCAGGTGCTTCTTGGCGTGGAGGATATGTATGAGGTGGGGAGGGGTGGGGAGGGGAGGGAGAAGAAGAGATAGGAGACGGGGGAGCAACACCAGCAGGGTAGGGGATCAGAACTCACCTACCTTTGCCCATAGGCAGGCAGTGAATGCCACCGGGCACCTGTCGGACACACTGTGGCTGATTCCCATCACGTTCCTGACCATCGGCTATGGGGATGTGGTGCCGGGTACCATGTGGGGCAAGATCGTCTGCCTCTGCACTGGAGTCATGGTGAGTATTCTCCCCAGGGACCCAAGCCCTGGCCCAACCCGCTCGGCCTCAGGGCCCAGGAAACCAGAGCCAGCACAGGCTCTCGGGGAGACCTCCTGAGAAACTCGGCGGGGCCTTGTTCCCTCTTCAGGACTCAGACACCCAACTCCCCACATGCCCCCCCTTTTTAATTCTGGAGATCGAGCCCAGGGCCTTTGGACTGAGCTAAATCTCCAGGCTTTATTTTTATTTTGAGATAGGGTCTTTCTTGGTAAATCACTCAGGCTGGGCTCAAACTCTTGATCCTCCTGCCTCAGCCTCGCAGAGTGCTGGGATTACAGGCATGTATCACCATATTTGGCTCCTATTTCTTTTCTTTTTTTTTTTTTTTCTGGTGCCAGGAATCGAACTCACAACCTCACACTTGCCAGGCAGGTGCTGTGCTGCTGAGCTAAATCCCCAGCATCGCACTTCTTTTTAAGACCAAGGAGTCCTGCCTCTAAGTCCTTGCTCTTGAAAACCTAGACCTTCATCCTCCCCAGAAAGTCAGGCCCTTGACTTCCAAGCCCTGTTTTCTTCCTAGATCCAGAGTCCCAGTGTCCTAGCGTCTGTCAGGGGTATTGAGTCATCACCAGGAGCATGACTTTAGGGCCAGGCTCCATGGGTTCAAATCCCACTTCTGCCGCTTTCCAGCGAGGGAGCTCAGGCAAGCCACATAATCTCCCTGGGCCTCAATTTCCTCATCTATAGAACGGGGAGGCCAGTGCTCCTCATGGGGTTCTGAGATAAGCCATGTTCAGTATAGGCTCCAAGGGGCCTATTGCCTAGACAGTGCTCAGTAAATGCGGCTGGGGGCCTTGTTATTGTAAAATCCCAGACGTCCAGCTTCTGTCCTCGCAAGGCTTCCGAGCCCCAGACTCAAGCTCCTCCCCAGAGGGAGCCTCCTCCTGAATCCCAGCATCCTCCTCCTCCCTGCATCCACTCCCTTCCTGGGAGTCCAGGCCCCAGCTCTTTTCCAGAAACTGACGTTGTGCTGCCCACTGCCGGATGAAGGAGTCAGACACTCGCCCGCCACAGGAGGCCTATATAGCATGGGCCCAGCCATCCCGTTCCTCCCACTCAGCTCATCCCCCTCAGGGCCCAGCACCCAGTGCCCTGGCCCTCGCCTCCCCACAAGACCTGTGTCCCCGGGCCCTCAGGTACCTAAGCCACCAGCTCCTGATGTTGCCGCAGGAAGGACACATTGAGTCTCTAAGCCCCGGGTCCTCAGCTGATGAATGGGGTGGCAGAGTAGTCTTTGAGGCCAGGGAAGAGGGGCAGAGGCTGAACCCAGAGAATATTCCCAAAGGCCGGGGACCTCTCGCCTCTGCTCTCCTTTGATAGGAGAAACGGAGAGCTAGAGAGACAAGGAAGGCAGTGTGCACCAGAGCTCACAGCCCCTCCTGGCTGAAAAGTTCCAGAGTGCAATGGAGTAGCCATCGCCCACTTTGCTTGGGCACACACTTGTGCCAGTCCCTGCCCCAAACGCTTTCCAGGTGTCGGCTCAGAGTCTGCGGTGATGCTGGGAGGGCGTGCCCATTTTACAGATGGAAAACCAATCCTGAGAGGCTGAATGGCTTGCTCAGAGCTAGACTGGGAACCGGGGACTCCATGGAGCCCATGTTTGCGATTTGTGACGTGTGCGAAGTGAGGGAGAGCTGAGCCACAGGGTGGGGAGCTGCAGAGAAGGGGACCTTGTACCTCCAGGACGTAGGCTGTGTCCCAGAGCCGCTGGGATCCGGCAGTGCCTGAAGATCAGGAGCCTGGGGAGAAGGAAAGGAGGAGAAGCTGTTGTGGGAAGGCTGGGCAGACTGAGAGCCAGGCTGAGCTCAGGGAAGTGGGAGCCTAGGCGGAGACCAGGATGAGGGGGACAGGGACAGATTAGAATAATGGGGTCAGGTCTCCCTGAGGTCAGGGCCAGAGCTCGGGAGAGGCTGCAGGGGTGGGAGGAGGGTGAGGGACACTCACCCCGGGACTGATGGCCGACCAGGTGTGGACAGCAAGGAGAAGGGGGACCAGAGCCAGCCTTCCCCTCCCTCTTCCAGCCGGAGAGGCCGCTCTGCTGATGGTGTCCCCCAGTCAAGTGGGTGTGATGGAAGCCGCCCCAGCCTGGCCGTTGGAAGGGCTCCAGGAGAGGGTGGGGGCACAGGGCTAGGCCCAGAGTCCCACAGGCTCCCGCCACTGTGCGCGCTGTCCCTGCAGGGGGTGTGCTGCACAGCCCTGCTGGTGGCCGTGGTGGCTCGGAAGCTGGAGTTCAACAAGGCGGAGAAGCACGTGCATAACTTCATGATGGACATCCATTATGCCAAGGAGGTGAGGCTGGGCCTCGGACACCCAGAGTTCACTGCACCTCCAGAGCTGGGAATCCAGGCCCCAGCCCCAGGAGTCCCCGGGAGTGTCCGGGAGTCCAGGCCCCGGCTCCCTCTTCTGGGACACTGACCCCGTGCTGTCCACCGCCAGATGAAGGAGTCAGCCGCGCGCCTGCTGCAGGGGGCCTGGATGTACTACAAATACACGCGCAGGAAGGACCCAGGAGCCGCCCGCAGGCATCAGCGCAAGCTGCTGGCCGCCATCTACACGTGAGGACCCTCCATGGGTGTTCTTGTCACGCCCGTGCATGGCTGTCAGGACACCGTGGGCCACAGGTCCCCGGGTCTGACTGGGACTCCGTGTGTCTGCAGGCAGTCATTTCCCCACTGGGGGGGAGCCCATCTGCACCCCTCCTGCCCCTTCAGCACCCCTTTTCTGTTGTAGCGGGTCTGTGTGGGTCTCGCCTGCCCTCTGCCCACCCCTGACATAGGGCGAGATTAGAAGCCGGGGTGTAGGAGAACTGACCCCCACTTTTCCGCACAGCTTCCGCCAGGTGCGGCTCAAACACCGCAAGCTCCGGGAGCAGGTGAACTCGATGGTGGACATCTCTAAGGTACCAGGCCCCGGGCAAGGGGGAGGCCAGGGCTTCGGGCAGGAAACCTCGGGAGAGGCCTGGCACACACAGGGCAAAGCAGAGGTTTATGGCTGAATGCAGGACGGAATGAAGCAACAAAGAGCTTCTTACATATACGTAAGGTGCAAATCCCTTTCAAACTGTAAAAAAAAACGGTACAAAGAACTCCAACGTTTGATTTTGAATTATCTTTATCATCAAGTTACATGCAGACGGATATAAAATTCCTTCCCACTATGACTGTTATACAATAAAACCAAAGCAAATTTACAAACCAAGCCCAAACATACGTGGTGAAACCAATAAAATTCCCCTTAATAACAGCGGCATGAAGACAGGCGACATTGTTTCAGGACAGCTCAATCTCTGCTGCTGCAGTGAGGGCGGCGGCTAGGGCTGGAGGGGCCGTGCCAGGCAAGCCCCCTCCTCCCCCCAAGACCTTTGATCCCGGCAGTGCTGGGATCAGTGGCACCGCCACCCGCTTGGCCTGGCTCCTGGCACCTTTTCTCTGTCTGGCTGCCTTTGCTTTTTCTCATTAGCCCACAGCAATTCAAACAGTGGCCCTTGGCACCAGTGCCATGGTAAACACGGGCACAGATAGTCCCCAGAGTGCATGGCACTGGTGGAGAGGAGGTGGCGGCCCCGATCTGCCAGAGGGGCAGGTGGCAGTGTCTGAAGACAGGAAGCCCAAAGCACAGAATTGCAGGATTCCTACAGGAAGCTCACAGTCAAGGATCCCAAGATGAATCTCAGAGTGACAACATGGGAAAAGGGCTACCTGGGCTTTTTGTTTTTGTTTTTGTGTTTTTTTGCTACCTGGGTTAGGAAGCCAGGCATCGTCAACCCCCCCCCCCACGTGTAAGGGGCACAGACCGCACTCTGAGCCCTATTCTGGGCGCTGGCGGCGGCATGCCACGTAACAGCTCCATGCCTCAGTGTCTTCGGTGGTAAGATGGGAACAGGATTCTACTCCCCACGGCTTTTAAGAGGATCTTAAACTCTACAGGAAAAGCACTTGGGCAAGTGGCTGAGACTCAGGCGGTGAAAAAGGCAACAGTCATTACTGAGAGGCCCTCCGGGGCCAGGAAGGACTCGTCACTGTTAGCCCCCCTGCTTAGACTGCAGCGGGGGGGACCCCCGCCCCCTGACACCACGGCCTTCTCTGCCCACCCAGATGCACATGACCCTGAGTGACTTGAAGCAGCGTCTGAGTGACTCACACGAGGCCCTAGAGAAGCGGATTGACGCGCTGGGGAAGAAGCTGGACACCCTGAGTGAGCTGCTCAGTTCTGCCCTGGGCCCTCGGCAGCTGGCAGAACCCAGGCACAAGGCCACGTAGCGGTGAGGGGGCTGGGCCTGGGCGGGAAGCAAAGCAGCCGGTGTGGCGCTGGCGCGGACACAAGGCCACCCTTTCTCTTGGGCGCTGGCTCTGCCAGGAGGAAAGGACTCTTCGCGCCGGCTGGACTGGCAGTGAAGCAGGGAGACGTCCTCCTGTCCTCCCGGCCTTTAGGGCCCCTCCCATTCTGCGCACGGTTGTCTCCCTGTGCCTGTCCCCCTGGCACTCTTGAGCTCTGATTATCCTGTGCCCCAGGCCGGTGCCCACCTTACCCTGGTCCCGAGGCGCACACCCCCCACACTAGTTCCCGGCGGCCTTCACCCCCATGAGCCGTGTTCCCAATCGCCGGCTCTTCCGCTCTGGCCTCCTGGCCACCCGTCTCTCTGTCTCCCCAGGACCCACAAAGGAGGACTCACACTACTTTCCCCAGGACGGAGCCCAAGCACTCCTCGTCCAGCCCTACGCAGAAAGCAGCTCAGGGTGAGGACCTCGGGCTGGGGCGGCTCCTGGCGGCAGCCACGAGGGGACACTGGCTCAGGGCGAAAGCCCTGGAGAGAACATGGTCACTACAACCCCATGCGCCCTCGTCAAAACCCACCTACCATGCTGCTGTAGGTGACCTCTGGCTTTTAGTAAGAAGTGGAGGTGTCTGGAGAGGGACTTCTGGTCCCGGCGGAGAAGGGGCCGGGGGTCCGGAGTCCAGGATCCTGGGAAGTTTCAGTTACCGCTGGACGGCACAGCTGAAGGAACCAGGTCTGAGTGGGGGAGGCGGCGCCCTCTAGCGGACAGCAAGCAGGACACTGTTTTTCAGGGCTGGGGATTTAGCTCAGTGGCACAGCGCCTGCCTGGCAAGCTCAAGGTCGTGAGTTCGGTTCCCGGTACCAGAAAAAAAAAAAAAAAAAAAGGACAGTTTTTCCAAAGCTGCGGAGACTAGCGGGGGAAGTGAAGAGGTGGAGACGCACCTGTCTCTGCTCCCATACTTTGTAATAAACATGAAACAAAACCAGTTACTGTTTCTTTCTACGTACTCCAAACTGGTGGATCCTTTGGTGAAAAGCACCTGCGCTGTCTGAATCTCAGTTTCCCCATCGATAGAGGAGGCTTCCCTTAGTGCCTCCCTGCTGTATGGGTGGGTGGGCCTCAGAAACCTGCCCAGATCGCTAAGGCTAAGAGCAAGGGCTTCAGATTCCGGCGGACTGGGGTCACATCCCGCTTCTGCCATCTGCTTGCTGTGTGATCTAGGGCGAGTAGCTTTACCTCTGGGGTGAAATGTTACTTCATCTGTCAAACTGCGTCCCCATGGAACCGCTGTGAATATTAGGACGACTGGCACAGAGCGCTGAGTACTTAGTGAGAACCAGATACACGAGCAATAATCACTTTTAGTCTGGCTACTAACATCCACACACAGTGCATGCCGCCCTTCTCCCCTTTTGGCTAGTTCCTCCCTTTCCTCACGCCTCGCAGGCCTGGATGACAACTCACCACCCGGCAGGCGCCCTGCCACCCCCACAGCAGTGTCACATCTGCTCAAGAGGAGTCTGCCGGGTCCCAGAACAGACAAGGAAGGGGTGGCACAGGGCTACCGCGTTCCCAGCTCTGTGATCCCTGTTTGGTTTCTTTCTCCATGGTACTAGGGGTTGAACCTAGGGCCTTTGCACTGCCCAGCTCTTTTTATTATTGTAAATTTTGAGACAGGCTCTTGCTGAGTAGCTAAATTGTCCACCTAGACTGGGCTTGAATTTGCCATCCTCCTGCCTCAGCCTCCCAGAGAGCTGGGATCATAGGTATGCACCACCACGCCATGCTCACTCCACTGTCTATAATCAGCAGAACCCCTCCTTGCCCCGCCTCGCGCCATCGTACAGATGTAGAAACTGAGGTCCGGAGAGCAGTGGTTCTGGCCCGAGAACCCCAGCCACGAAGCTCAGCATCCAGCTGCAAAGCCCAGATTCACACCGGCCTGTCCTGGCCCTGTCCTCGGTGAGTCAGAGACCCGGCCTTGGCCTTGAACAGGTCTCACTCCCACAGCAGCTTCATCCTGCTTGCAGGGCTGATTCATCTGCTTCCTCACTCTGGGGAAGCCCAGGCTGAGTCAGAGCTATCTTTGGATTTCCCTGACAGTCCCCCAGCCCTGAGGACTACATCAGGGCCTCTGCCACCCACTGCCGCTTGCTGCCCTCCCCCGGGATGCCAGCCACCTGGGGGGCGGCTCAGCGAGGGGACCGATGAACCCCCGAAGCCGTCGCGACAACTTTCCCTGTTGGCAGCCCCGCGCCAAGCGCATTTCTCTGAGACCATTCTCTCTGTCTCCACTTCCCCGCCTGCTGCTCCTGCGGCCTTGGCTCGGCTGTCCGGGTCCTCCAGGAAGCCCTCTCTAGGAACCTGTCCCTGTCACAATATTTACTGGGTCAAGAAGCACCGTGCTATACTCCACATAAATAATCTCACAAAAGAGGGCACCATAGGGATCATTTTACACACCAGGAAACAGAGTCACAGAGAGGCTACGAACCTTGCCTGGGGCCGCACCAAGAGGTGGGGAGCTGGAACGTGGCCCGCGGAGCCCGGCTGCTCGGCTCACTGGCTCCTTCAGATACTTGGGCAGCAACTCACTGGGTTTTAATTATTTTTTTTTTCACTATCTTGTCTCCAGCACCCAGGCCCTGATCAGGAGCCGGGCTGCAGAGTACGTCCGGGGCTCTGTCCTCCAGGACTGTCTCTGGAGGTTCTGGCCTCTTCCCTCTCCTCTTTCTGCTCTGGCTCCACGCCCACAGCAGGACTGCACGGAGCAGAGAGGTGGGCAGTTACACAGCAGCCAGGGCCCTGAGGACCTTCTGAGCACTCACACAGCCCGTCTGCGGCTCCCACGGCACCCCTGTCCAAGTCCAGCTCCAAGGCCAGGCTCTTTCTTCCTTTCACTGAGAGATCTTTTACACAAATGCACATGTTATATGTAATCTCCATGAATTTTTACAAATGCTTTCAGCTGGGCAGTCACTACTCAGATCAAACTAGAAGTTTCCTGTCCCCTAAAGCGCCCCCGACACTCCCAGCCAATGCCCTCCTCCGCCCCTAGCACCCACCACCCTGGCCTTCTCGGGCTCCGAGCCTGAAAGGAGCTCCGAGGGCCTGCACAGCCGCCCCTGCAGCTCAGTTTCCAACGGCACAGCAGAGCTCCCGTGTCAGCGCTGCCGAGTCACTTGGGGACTCTCCAGGGTCCGGCCGGGTCCGCCTCCCCTGGTTCCTCTGCCCTCTCTGTCCCGGCTGCTGCCAAGCCTGAGCTTTTGTTCCCGCCCAAACAGTCTTTGTCTACCTGCCCACTCTCCTCTCATCGGCCCTGTCTGCTCAGAACAAACATCTTCAGGATTTGTCCAGTTCTTTATGATAGCTCATAAAGGAAGCCTTTCAACATCAACCCCAGACCAGCAGCGCAAAGACCTGCTTGGAGCTTTTATGCTGCGGGGCACAGCTGACAACACAGAAGAGCCAGGAGAGTGCTTTTTGCAATTTGGAGGGGGTGTCAAATGGAAAGAGTTTCTTTCCTTTTGCAGGATGAGCTGACCTTTCAGTTCAAGGGCAACCCCTCTTGTGCCCTGTCCACATCCTCTCTCGCTTCTTAAGAACCTGCTCCTACCCAGGGCACAATGGCACGTGGCTGCACTCCCGACTACTTAGGAGGCTGAGGCAGGAGGATGCAAATCTGAGGTAGCCTGGGCAACTTACTGAGACCTTGTCACAGAATTTTAAAAAGTAATAGAATACAAAGGGCTGGAGATGAAGCTCCACAGGGAAGCACTTGTCTAGCATGCACAAGGCCCTGGGTTCAATCCCCAGTATTGAAACACAAAACCAAATCGAAAACCAGAACAAACTCCTGCTACATACAGCGTGAGGCTTTCCTAGCAAGAGCTGAAGAAGTAGACACACAAAAGACAGGCTGTAAGAGGATCCAGCAGTGATACGTGTATGTACCAACTTCCCACAATGGGTGTATTTATTATGTATCGCCGATACGTACTATTTGAAGAGGAGGGGGCAGAAAACATACTCTCGGGTTTCACTCACATGAAGTTCAAAACAGGTGCGGCAACTCCACAGTGACAGGCGTCAGGTCGGAGCTCGCTTCTGCAGCGAGGGAATCGGCAGGGAAAGGGCACAGGTAAAGATCTCAAAGATGCTGGAAAAGGGGCCGGGGTGCAAAGCTCTCCAAAGACAGGGAGGTTGACTGAAGGGCTGGAGGTGGATGTGGGGGCCACTGTGAGAAAGATGAGGCTTTAGTCATCTGACTAGGACACAGGAACTTCTCACCCGCATGCTGATTCTGTAAGGAAAAGCTGACAGTACTTATTTACATTTATCTTTTTGGGGGTGAGATGTTAAGTGGTGCATGAGGGACACTGATCCTAAAGATAAGGTGAATGAATTTTTGCAAATTGCTGTGTTCATGTAGATAACCAGATAACGTTTCCAACATCTTTTTTTTTGTCTTTTTTTCCGGTACCAGGAATCGAACTCACAACCTTGCGCTTGCCAGGCAGGCGCTGTGCCGCTGAGCTAAATCCCCAGTCTTTTAATAATTATCCAAGGGGCTGGGGATTTAGCTCAGCGGCACAACGCCTCCCTGGCAAGCGTGAAGTCCTGAGTTCGATTCTAGGTACCAAAAACAAACAAAAAAAAGAGATAGTTATTGATAAAAGGACAAGGTAACCTGCTTAAAACAAATAAAACTTAGGGAGGGGATAAAAGTATAGATGACTGTCAATACTGGGCAATGGGTATGTGGGAGTTCTTTATACTGTGGTACTTTTGTTAATATTTTAAAAATTTGTAATGATCCAGGTGTGGTGGTGCATGTCCATAATCCCTGTACTCAGGAGGCTGAGGCAGGAGGATCACTATGAGTTTGAGGCCAACCTGGGCTACATAGTGCATTGAAGCAGCCTGAACCTACATAGTGAAATCCTGTCTCAAAAAAAAAAAAA